TGGTGCTCTCAGGCAGAATAAATTGAAATGGATGAAATGGTTTGATGAACGCAATTTTCTTTCTTGTGCTGATGTTTTGAATAGCCAATAGCCAATGTGAGGTTGGCCCAAAGGTCTCTTTTTCTAGAAGGCACTTTATTAAAAAAAAATTATAATAAAATACTTATAAAAAGTCATAAAAGTAGTTCACATTTCAAGTCTTCTTAGGTCCTACAATAACAGTTGTTCATGTTAACTGAATACAAGTGTCAATAAGATTTGAGAGCTATAGTCAAAGTCAAGATTTTTATTGAATTACAATTTTAGTTAGTCTAGAATTAGAATTTATTTAGTCTGTTCCTTACACAAAGCCATCACATGACTTATGACGTCCAATACAGTGCTTTATAAGACTAGGTGGTATATATATATATATGAAAAGTTCATTTGCAGAAACCGATAAACTCCACTTTAAAAAAATGTGATTGCCTGCATTATTCTCCACTTACAGCGCGATTTGAACCCTAAACACGTTTTGTCAAAAAAGCCGGTTTTGTCCACTTTCAAGGCATCGCGAGTTCACGTTTTACTGCAGAAGCCGATAAACGCCCTTGTATTTTACTGCAGAAGCCGACAAGCGCCCTTGTTATTTTTGAACAGAAGCCGATAAGTCAATTTTGGCGAATCAGCGCGCTGTATTGAGGTCAGGTGACAAGGCTACTTTCACTTTGAAAAGACGTGTTAGCTGAGAGGAGTTTTATCAAAGCTGACTAAAAGTGATCGAGGATGGATAATTTCAACCGACTTGATGAACCTGTGATATCTCCTTCAGGGCGAAAAAGGAAAATAAACGCTGAAACGTTTTCACGGAACCTTGCAAAAGCAGCGCGTTACAATGGTGAGGGAAAAGCTCCGTGTATTTCGTGTAATCCATAGACTGTATAAAAAGGTGTAATCACATCCATACTGTTTATGATCACAACAACAACAACGTTTGTCAGGCATCTACATTGTCATCTGAGGAGATTAAAAAGATTAAACAAGTGTTTTTTTTTACTCTAAAACACGAAATGTGGAGTTATCTGCTTTTGCTATTTTTAATGTGTAAAAAAACATACTTTCAATTAACTTTAATTTTGTAAATTACCTGTATTTGTTTAAGTTATTATTACTTAAAAAAAAAACGTGATTTATGAAAAAACAAATAAAAGGGAGTTATCGGTTTTTGCAAATGAACTCTTTATATATATATATATATATATATATATATATATATATATATTGTATTATGTATATGTTGTATAAAGTGTCTATCGATACATATTTGCTATATCGTTCATATCGCTGTATGTAAATCTTCGTAGGACACTACTAAAAGTTGTTGACACATTGGAGTGATAAAGAAATGTCTATCTGTTAATGAGAAAATAAAGCACAGGATAAGGATCAATGTGTATCTAATTCATAGTGAAGACTATGCAGAGTTTTATTTCTGTATTTGATTATTCCATTTTTGTAGTTTTTTTTTATACCTGAATACTAGTACTAGATAGACCTACCTGGAAAATATAAAGTATTATCATTTCATTAGCATCTTTACTTTACTGTATTTGTCCTATTGCTTTGATTTTTATCTAATAAAATCAAGTTTTGGACCAGTTTTTGTAGGGAATAGTTACTGAAATGTAAGGTCTATCATTTTGCAAGCACACATTTTAATTATTCTTTTAATTTGTTATTACATTGCCTTCTGCATTACCTGAGCTGTGATTTTTATTATTTTATTTTATTTCATTTTTTTTAGGCATTACATCCTCATGGCAAAGAAAATTGTACAATTGGATGTGACTTTACATAGAAAAGGTTAGAAAGTGATTTTACACTAAAATTATGGTATGATGAATATTGCTTATGTCTTGTAGCTATACTTTTAAAACAGTGAGTATTTTAATGTTTACAGACTGGCCCCATTCGCATCCATCATAAGTGCCTGACTGCAACATGACTGTGGATTTTTCAATTGTGGGGACGATTCAAAATTAATCAGCATTATGCAACAAATGCTGTCGACTGAGCTTAACCTGGAATATTCCTTTAAGACTGTCACAGTAGTAATGTGTGAAGCTTTTCTTTTGGGGCATGTAGCAAGTTTTTAATCAGTTACTTTTACCAATGCATGTTGATTTGTGAACACTGTTCCTCTCTGCTGATGTGATTTGTCCAGGAATGGCATATGCATAACCTATTAATGTGATTCCCTTGACACATTAAATAATTTAGCAACATTTGTTTTGTGCAATGCAGACACAGTACATTAGACAGCTCGCATTTGCTTTGACAATTCACATATCAAAGTATAATTTATCAGAGCTCTTTCGCAGCTGACACATCCTGCTAATATAGTTAATTTTACTCGCAGCCGCATTGGCGATTGTATATATGAACTAGATTAAACCGTCTGTTTCATTCCTTTGTCTAACACTGTACAGTATGTTCTGTGTCTAAAGATTCTTTACTGGCATCTAGTTCCATGATGAACTTTATCATCCATGAAGCCATTCCGCTGGACAATGAAAAAAGTTTATTTACGCTAAGAAAAATCACTGAAGGTTTCTTTGTGGACTCCAAAATCATTATTCTATGGAATCGTTGCAAAAACCCCTTTTGGAACATTTATTTTTAAGACTGTATGTCATGTGAAAAAAGCTGCTGTTCCCTGCCATTCATTTCTAACACAATATTGAATTTAACAGCTGAGCAGTGTTGACAGAGCTTTGTGTTGCAGGCTGCCAGTCCACTTCTGCCATTTCAGAGCTGAGCCATTAGGGAATGTCATTACGGCTATTGATTTGCTTGTTTGCATTCGTTCATGAAGTCGTTGTACAGCGTGGAGAGAAAGACTCCAGTTGTGATTTTGAGGCAGCGTTCAGAATAGCCGCCGCTTGTGGAATCAGTGTGTAAGCATTTAACCATTATCCTGTCCATTCTACTGTTATTATTTCTAGCTGTAGGTCTACCTAGCCCATTTAATGTCAAAATAAATATAATTCAGTAGATACAAATGTTGCTAGCAGTCCATGAGAGATTTAGACACAAGTAGCCTAAATAAATGGCTCTGATGGCTTGAGCTGTCTGAAAACATGTTGGAACAAGGATGCAGCATGACTTTGTGAGATTTATTTTGTACAACAGCTCAATAAACAAGAACTTAACAAAAATACTTATAAATAAAGACACAGCAGAACACCAAACTATAGTTTGTATTCCTGCATTATTCTTTTATTATTATTATTATTATTATTATTATTATTATTAAACCTGCATCCGCCACTAAAAAAAAATAAAAAATCAGGGACAGGCTTTGGTAAATCACAATTATGAGACAAAAACATTTGTGAGATATATAAAATGATGAGATACTAAGTCATAACTATGAGATAAAAAGTCTGAATTATGAGATACTGTGTTGAAATTATGAGAAACAATATCGAAAGTATGAGATACTAAGTCACAATTATGAGATTAAAAAAATCTAAATTATGAGATACTAAGTCACAATTATGAGATAAAAAGTAAAAATTATGACATGTCAGAATTATTAGATAAAGCCATATTTATGACTTAAAACTTAAATTCTACTTTTATGTAATAATTATGTCTTTGTATCTAATAATTGTAAGTTTTTAATCACATAATTGACTTAGGGCCAGATTTACTAACAGCTTGCACCAGCGCAAACCTTCTTTTGGCATTAAAAAACTTTCCACTCCCTTAGTGTGTTTCACAATTAGTACTTAGTAACTCACTATTTTGATTTTGTAGATCATATTTATGCATAGTTATGAATTACTGCATTTTTTTTTATTATGTGGTGGAAATAGGCTTCAGTCGTTTTTGAACCAGTGCATTATTTAGCGACTCACTCATGAAGAAATTCACTTGTTTTGTTCCAGAATGATTCAACATTTTTAACAAATCGGTTGAGTGAGTGATTCAGTGACTCTCAAAAAGACAATATTGTAACCACTCCTTTACACTGGGCATGGTAGAAATCAATTAAAATTGAAACAGCACAATGTGACCAAAACAATATACACACTTAACTAGACGCAAATAGAAATCTCTGTCTGTCTTTCTATTTATTAACAAAATGTTCTTAAAGCATATCAGTCTGTATGTCAAATAAGGATGGCTTTTCTTTGTAGCTTTTCAATGAAATGTAATAGGGGAAAAATGGATTATTAATTGTTTTATAATACACCATATGTGAAATTCAATAATAAGTAATAATTTAGGTAACACTTTATTTTAGGGTCTCTTAACTCGTTGCTTATTAGCATGCATATTACTAGAATATTAGCCATTTATTAGTGCTAATTAAGTACATATTAATGCCTTATTCTACATGACCTTATTCTTCATCCCTAATCCTGTCCAATACCTATACTTAACAACTACCTTACTAACTATTAATAAGCAGCAAATTAGGAATTTATTGAGGGAAAAGTCGTAGTTAATAGTGAATAATTGTTCCCTATTCTAAAGTGTTACCATAATTTATATCAATGAATAGTATGCTGTTTGGATAGGGTAATTCATTTTTCATCGTTTAACTAAATATACAGTATAAGTTCCAATAATATTACAAATCTTTAGTAAATCTAAGCAATGTGCCTCAGTGCCACATTTATATGAACACAGTGTCACAGAATAATAGTGTTGTTGCTGTGCAGTATTGTGAATAAGGCTGACTGAATGCTTTGGGAAATCTGGCAGTAAATCCTCTAGTTGGCAAGTTTGCTCCTGAGGCGACCTCTGGCATATGGCATATGTACCCCTCACTGTGGTAGCACTTGCTGCCTACTGTTCTAACAGAGCCTGTCAACCAGGGGGGTTTGGCCATACTGTAGGCCAGACGGAGACCAGGGAATGGTGCACAGCCCAGGCCAAAGGGTCAGTCTGCCTAAGGACGGCTGGAGAATAATCACAACACACTATGAGCACTAAAGTCGAACTCTCACCTGTGCTGTCATCGTAAACCACAGTGACCGTTTTCCACTTGAAGAAGTGAACCAAATCTAAAATGGCTCTGCTGAGGGAGGAGAAGTCTGGGTAAAGGCTGACATAGAAGGAGTCGCGGTTGTCTGACACTTGGTGCTTCCACTTGGTCTGGATGTGTGGCACCCCCAGAGCGTTACAGATGGACTGCACTGCGTTGGCCGAAGAACTGTGGGAGGGACCGAAGATGGCTGCCACACCCAGAGAGAGCTGGTCACAAGCTGGAGGACAAAATGGTTATTTTTATTGTTTTATTTTGTTATAATAGAAACACCAAAGCCCAATTCATAGTTACTCACAGTGTCCAAAATAAAATTGCAACACAGTAACACTGAACTCATTTACTTTTATACCTCAGAGTTTTTTGGCAAAGCCACTGTGTTTTAATTGTGTCTTTGTAATCTTTAAATAACCTGGCATGGAAAAAAAGCACAGTTACAGTGGCAGCGGCTAATGGAGTGTATAATCATTATAAGAAAATTCAGATGTTTCCCCAGCGTGTAAATGACAGATGATTGCAGTCTGCGAACCTGTCTCAGGGGTATCAGTAGTTCACTGAATCACCCCTTCTGACTCATTACCTAAAACCAATCAATTCTCTCTGCATATGCACCAGACGGCTACTGATGTCCCCTTGTGGTTAAATGAATTCAATCTAAAGCCCACGTCCCTCTTCATATATCTCACAGCACATTAAGACAGCTGATAGCTGGAGATGGCTTGGCTTTACCTTTTCTGGAGGCCTCAAAGCTGTCGTGGATGTTTATCCTTTGGATGTCGTATGTAAGTGTGGTGTTTGGCAGTAAAGTTCTGTTCCTGTTGATTGTGTTTAAAGCAAACTTAAAGGCAAGTTCTTCAGCACCAGATGGGCCACTTTCGATGGATTCAAATATCCCCCCTAAAAGAGAGAGAGAGAGAGAAAGAGAAAATCAGTTTTATTAACCTGCTCCCTCTTGGCTCTGGTTTCCAGAGAAATCCACAAATATTAATAATATAATATAATATAATATAATATAACATAATTAAGACAAAACTAGTGAAAAAAAATGTTTTTAAGTGTACATTTAATGTATGCTTGGATTTATACACTAAATAAATTAGTCAGCTTTTTATTTGTATTTAAAGTTTATTTTCCATTTCTGTCATAAAACAAGACAAATACCATGTTGACAACTAAATGAAAATGTATTTTAGTTTAAATTGGTATTAAATGCAATTAGAGTGTTTTTGACCCACTTACGTAGGACTTCAGTACATCTTTATATTTACTGTCATAATAACTTCTAACTCTTTGAATTATGGTTAAAGTTAACTGCTGATTGCACTGACATGCATTTATGGTAAACTAAAACATACATTAATGCAATTTCTATTGAAACTTGTGTGCTTGTATGTTATGTATTTATACATATTAATACATACATATTTGTAATTACACATTTGTAATGACAAGTACACTACAAACGCAAATTCAATAATACAAATTAACACTTTTTTTACAAAAAAAATTATTTACCTTTGAGGTAGAAATACTGTAGTGCACTAGTAGAAATATCAGCATATATAAAAGAACAGGAAAATCTCTTACATCTCTTACAGAAGGTATGTTTTTAGAGCGCTAGCTACACAACAGCTCCCTTCCCTTTGTGAGTTTACTTGACGGGCTTTATATAAATGGATGCCTTTAGTGTTGGGGACTGATGTGTTCTGATTGGCTGGCGAATCAATCAATCAAACCCTAGGGAGCAGTGAAGCACAGCATAGAGAGATTTAAGTGTTTTGCTTGGGTCAGTCAGCAGTTTGCCCTTGTTGACTCACCATATGTCAGACTAGAGCTCGATTCAGTGTTTTACTTACACTCGCTGGAGGCTCCATCATTTAAATGATCCCTCAAGACAGTACAAATAAAACCATTTCACCGGCACACACTGTCTTTACATGACTCTCTACTGTCCAACATGTAGGACAAGAGCAAGTATCAGTAATTGTTGTTTCAAATATCACAGCATACTGCTGAAAACCGACAAAAAAGCAAAACCAGTGTAACAGTGGTATCGAAAGGATGTTTCTTCACTAATAGTGTTATTTTATTTTATTTGTTTGAAAGAAAAAGCCTTGAACAAAAAACAGTGATGTAGAATAATATACATATTTAAAAAAAATAAATGTAATATTGATTTTCTGTATGAAAACCAATGTAAGGTTACTAAATGTCATCAACTGGTATTATAACAGAGAGACTCTGGGCAGGTAACAACAAACTTTCCCTCAGAAAAAGCATTCGTACATGTTAAATATCCATCATCCATCTCGTAACTCATAGGGCGAGCTCTGACATTGATAAACTGGGACTTGTATGACATAATGAATCAGTTTCCTTTGGGGAAATGTCCGTTTCTCAAAGAGATCTCTCAAGTGCCCGACAAATATTTTTCTGGGTTTTTGTATAGTCATTCTGTCTATAAATAGTTTCAAATTACATGTAATTTACAGATTGACCATTCTAATCCTCCATCTCTTTTTACTTCAATGGGGCGAGTTGTCACACATTTTACTCCAGTGGATATTTCTCAGTTAGGTTTATGTTAAAACGTCCATTTCAGAATAGGCACATACCATTAAGGCTTTAAAAAAAGAACTATGTTCAAATATTTGCACCATTACATTGGAACAATATATAGGGAACATACCATTAAACAGCCTATTACGGAGTATACAGAAACATTTAAACAGTAAAACAATTCTGAAATGCAAAAAAAAACCCAAAAAAACATTGTTTTGGCCAACAAATATTGTAATCGATTAATCAATTGCATAAGATTATAGCAACAAATGAAACATGAAAACATTTTATGTGAAAGCTATAACAAAAATATTATGAAATTGATATTTATGTTATGATCATTTATAATATTTTATGATGAGATTATATTATAAAAATTACAAAATTTTCAGACAGTTCTCAAATGTCAGTTACAATAATGTATACATTGCCTGTCTAAATACTCAATTCTGATTGTCTGGATATATAATACAACAAAACAACAAAAATCAACTGTTATTTTTATCTGTCCAGTCATATTTTGTGCCGCAAACATCAACGACTACCTTAACTTGTCCATGCTGTCAAGTTACCGTGATATAAGTGGAGTGGTTCTTTCCCTACACATTAAAAAATAATAATAATAATTAATGCACACCTAGTGGATTATTTCTATACTGTATATACAATTTAAGACTAGAAAATCTAAAATTATTTACTTTATATAAAATCATTAACTAGATTATTAAATTGTACATACTATTTAAGTATGTTTTAAAAGTGTGTTGCTGTTGGTTTCAGTGATGTTGCATTTGTGTAAGTCCCAGTCTCCTTCATTTTAGTACTTTTACCATTTTAATATTGTAAATAATGAGGAAAACAAATAAATGTTTATTCATTTTCATGCAACTGAAAATATATTCCATTTGATCAGACGTATGCAAAACTTTATATATTTAAAACTAGGGCTGGGTTTTGACACAAATTTCACGATTCGATTCGATTCTCATTCACAAGCTTGCGATTCGATTCAATTACCAATTCGATTCGATTCAATGTCGATTATTTTGGATATATATCAGGTACAGTACATGCCAAATTTTCTCAAGGAAAAAAAATCTCAACTAATGCTGTAAAATATACATGAGAGTCAGATGGTACTATAGTTTAGTCATGTTTATTTTGTGCTGAAACTGGTATTAATGTGGAGGAGATGATCAGTTCACTTGCGCCTTGCGCTGCCGCATCTGTTGAACTGAGGCGCTCCAGCGATCTGTCACTCCACATTAAACAGCGCCAAAATGGCATTTAATGTTTAAATACTGCAATACAATGGACAGAGTTTGAAATCTGAGACTTTGTTTCATATTAAAAGTACCAAAGCACAATGCTTACTGCGATTTATTGGATGGGAGGTACCCTTCAATGTTCCGTCCATAAACTGAAAACAGGCTAGACTAATCGATTCTTGGGATTTAAGAATCGATATCGTTCCGTAAAAATGAGAATCGATTAATATTGAGATATCGATATTTTTTTACCCAGCCCTATTTAAAACGTGTAGAGACAGCAGAATATTTTATCATTGCATTGTGTTAACTGCATGTATAGACTTAATAACCTAAACAGTCTTCAGTAAATAGTTACAATTAAAAAAATGCAATTGTTAAACATTTTTCCATCAGATCAAAGCGTCCTGGTCAAGAGTGCCATCCCAGACCTGCAGTGACTGGTAGTGGCTCAGTGCTGCTGCTCTCAGCTGGGCAGCTGTCTAATGAATAATGCCCTGTGCCTACCTGATCGCTCGCAACAGTCTCACACATGCCACCGCACTCAATAACACTCTCAGAAGCTGTGACATATTTATCACACAGCAGCTACATAATCACTGGCAGCACAATACATTCATTTCTGCATCCATAGGGAATACTTGCTTACAACTGAGCACCATGACAGCTCAGAGGAAATTTGCAAAGTAGCAGCCATCTTCCTGTCTGAGAGAAATGAAACTGTCATTTATCATCTAACATGATCAACCGTGGTGGTGACCACAATGGAATTACATACAAAACTGGTCAACATCATACAAGAAAATGAACTTTAAAGATTTCATGAAATAATATGAGTTTTGCGGCTTTAATTTTATGCCTGTTCCCAGCTCACAAAAAGTTATGGAAACTGTATTTCTCAGAATGTTCAAAATGTACTTTTGAATGTTCCCTGAATGCTCTGGAAAAAAAAAAAAGTAAGATGAACATCCAACTAAAATGTTTTAGAAGAGAAATGTTCCTTGAACAATGTATCAATAATACTTTGAGAACATTAATAAAGACCTGATCTTTGAAGGGACATTCTATCAATGTTACTGGATTTGTTTATAACTTTGAGAGAACAATGCCAGAACTTTTCTGAAAATGTTCCCTGTTAGCCAGGTTAATTTTTTGAGAACATCTATACATCCCATACCAGAATGTAAAAAGCCATTGTTTTTCAATATCCAAGTGATTGCCTAAAAATAATTAGCAACTTGACCAGTTTTATCATATGAAAGTGAAAACATACAAAAATATATTCTTCTAGAGTAGACTGACTAACAGATGTGCATGTTATTTTCTGTTTGCTATTGCTATCTCTCTTAATATAACACATTCCTTGGAAATCTTCTTGGCAACCTCTTGTTCACTATTCTCAGAAGTTAACTTTGATGAATATTATTGATGGTATTATTGGCGATTTGTTTACTAGTTGCTGTCCCATGTGGTGGTGGAAAGGAACCATGTTGAGCTGCTGAATTCAGGTGAGATTTATCTAGGAAGACACAAGAGGATTTTAGAGGGGAACAGGTGATGGGTGTGAAATCTCATCTACATAAATTTTGATTCATGTTGTTTTTATCATAAGTTCAACCCTACTTTTACAGCTTATTGAAATGTGCTGAGAATTGATAGCAAAAAGTATGGTCTCCACAGCTGTAGGAAGGCTCACTTTCAATGCTGCATGCAGCAGCAACTAGAAACACTCTCTTAAGGGCATATGCTGTTTTATGTGATGTGCTGGTGTCCCCATAAGGTTTCTTAACAGCTTCAGCAGAAAGATAATACTGTTAGACAGGCATTTTTTGCATAGCTATGTACTGGACCAGCATCAATCCAGCAATAATCACCCGGAGCAGCATGGAAATTTATTCAATTATTCACCAGGGCAGGGTCAGAAAATACATAAATGGTCAGGGACTCCACTTGAACTAGAAATAATTACAGGATATGAAAGGTATTCATTTCTCCAGCCCACTACAGATTAAATTTATATTGCGCAGAGTTTCACTTCACAGCTCTCAGAAATCATTTTAAAGTAGC